TTTTAAGCAAGCTAAGCAGCTGCTGACACAAAAGTTGCTAGCGAGCAAGAATTTGGAAGAAGGCGGCACTGTTCTGTAAGATGTCAAGAGAACGTTCAATTTCTCTTGAGGTGTCAGCTTCAGGAGCGTACAGCATATCAGAATTATTCTTAGCTTCAGTTATGTTAAGGGTTGTATTCTAGCTTAGTCACTGAGGCTCCAGTAGTTACTCTGGACATAGCGCTTTCTCTGCCTGCTAGAAGGAATCAAAATGCACAAAGCTTCAAATTGGTCTAGTTTCAGTTTTGCAAGTATTTCCGCCCCCCATGCTCATTCAGCATTATAGTCCTGACTCCTCAGCCTCTAAAGGCCTGCTGATCTGCCCAGTCTGTCACAAAACTCAGAGACCTGGTTTGACATAGCCCTGGATTACAGCTTGCTCCTCTCATAAATTCAGCATAACTACTGTAGTAATCGTTTCTTCTGTAGTGTAATAGTTAGTCTCACTTATACTATCACCAATTCTCAGCAACTTCCTACTCCAAAGTCATGCCTCTCCAGGAGTTTAAGTGCAAGTCCTTAACCTGAAAGGATTGTGGTGCATTATCCACAGCAATAGTCAAAGGTCACGGCTCAGAATTGCAGCTAAACCAAAATTCCAGAAGGACTGATAAACCAGCTCTGCACAAGTCCCCCAGAGTTCAAAATCCTAAGCCTACACAGTTGCTAAGATACAACAGATATTGTCCAGCACTTTTTCTGTAGCAGCCTGTGTATACACACACACACCTTTGACAATCTTCGCAGAAAGCCAAACAGTCAGATTTATTCTGCTGCGAAGTTATGACCAAGCCAATACACTGGAACAAGCGTTTGCCAGAACTGTTGCCAAGTTATGCAGTTAAACAGCAGAAGATGACAAATCCAGACCTTTAAGTCACTCCTGCATTCCTCTACTCCAGATGCCAAGCAAGTTCAAACATTCAAGTGATTTGGCTCGTGTTTAAACAAACTGGAAAGGCAAAGTAGCAATTGTCTAGTAATAGATTTTAGGGCAAAACCTGTATTCCCAGGAAGCATGTTTCCTCAGCTATAGTTTACTCAAACTATAAGTCAACCCCAAGCTCAGGAAGCTCCAGTTCACCTCTGAAGCAAGTCATAGCGCTAAGACTATGTAGTTTATATGACTAAGGAACAGCATTCTAGCTGTTACTATGGTTAATCCAACAGCTGTGCCCAGCTACAAGTTTGAAACTGTTTGAGAATTTTTTAGGCATACAAGTGAAGAGACTTCCACATTCAGAGTGCCAGTAGTTTGTGGGCACAAATCAACACCTTCCAAAATCATTCCCCTTCTGCCTAAGACAACTTGTACACCAAAACGACTGCACTGTAGAGTCTCAAGTGCCTTAAATACATGAGGAAAAACTGAGGTGCTTAAGTTTTAACTAGAACAATTAAATGACTTTACATTATGAACTAACCTATTATCAAGATTAGATTAATTCATCCATCAAGCAGAAAAAGCCTTTCAAATAGCCTGTGGAGGAGCCTTGCTCCTACAAGTCTGTTTCCAGATATAAATTGAGCCTAAATAACATTTGGGTTCCTTCTGAGAGCAAGCTGACATGCCAAGAGACTCACTTAATGTCACTGCAACCCATTTCACCCCCAACAACTGCCGAAACTTCACAGCTGCAGTTGTCCAGGAGAGTTTGAGACGAGTTTGATTCATTTCCTCATCTGCCCATATAACACTAACTAACAGCACTGCATTGCCCATGTCTCACCAAGTCTTAGACTGATAAAGCTGCACTGTTGCCATAGTACCTACTTTGATGTAGTCTTTTCAGGGAGCTTATGGTGGCCTTGATACAACTATTTCCATTAACACAGAGCAAAAGAAAGCACTCAGCTCACTTCTGATAGAAGTTTATGTGGCCTTGGCTCTCAGAAGCTAAATTCAAGCATCTTGCTATCTCTTCAGAAGAGCTGTAATCTTTGTCAAGAGACTACACCCTTTGGCTACATTCACAGTCAGCCAGTGGGAACTCTGGGACATGAGAGTAAGTAGCATTCAGGGTGGAGAAACAAAGATTATAGTTTTCTTTCTGCAAGAGCCTGTTGTCCTTTAGTACTCCAAAAGCACTGGCTCCAGTAGTCCACTATTATTCCAGCCACCTTACTAGTGGTTTCTTTCCAGACTTGAAAGAATGGCTATATTCTAAACTTTAATCACTACCAGTTTTGATTTGTTGTATGTTTTACAGAAGATCTTTGCTCACTCAAAGTGAGATTAAGTTATTCTCTAAAACCTTTGCAGCCATTTCGATCAAAGCCCAGTTCTATAGCCTCCCCTTATTTCTACCTGTTGCCCAAGTCTATTGTAGTTATATTATATGCAAAAAAAAAAGATCTGATAGAACACTAACAAAAATCTGGCCATATTTATTAATCTCAAATTTTAAAAAGCTTAAATAAATTTTAAACTATAACCAGACTACAGAATTTCCCACTCCACACAGACATGAAGCCAGTATGTTTTCTATCCTGAAGGCTAACATATTCCAATCCTAGTAGTGGCAACCATGAAGATTACCAGTCAACTTCAGAGAAGTTTTAACCTTTATCAAGCCCAATGCCTAGAGCCCTGAGCCAGTCTATACGAAAGTTAGTGTAGAGGTATTCGGGTTTTTGCCAAGCAGGTTCTATCATCACCTGCTCAAGTTCAACAACATCATGAGCAGCTGAACTATAGTGTGCCCTGGTCAGGAGGCTCATAGTAGGATAAGAACTAAAATAAGATCTAGGAAAAAAATATTTTGTTTAATGATTTTGTATTCTTTAAGTCACATCCTCACAAGCCAAAGCTAAACAAACAGGATCTACTTTAAACTGCACAAATTGAGGCAAAGACTTCAACCCCCAGACAGAAGTAGTAACTCCAGCTAGTTATTTCAGGGTTAGCAAACTAAAGCCTCCTTGAAAGGAGGAAAAAAAAAAAAAGAAAGACTAAACACACACAAAAAGTGTAAGGGACTGCCACTTTTACCCATTTGCATAGGCTAACAGTCATTTGCTTTGTTTGGACCTACTGTAAGGTCATCATTCATTTCTCAAGGGAAGTGACTGAAGAGGGATCACAAAGTTAATATTTTGGCATCATCAAGTGACACCTTCAACACTAATACCAGCTATGGCCAAGTGCAGCAGAGAAATTGCTGTGAACTGCTGCAGTTGATAGCTTTTGTACCCAATAAAACCTTCATGTGCTTTGTGGGCTAGAGACAGTTCAGCATGCAAACACTTAGTGTAAACATGCAAGAAACCAGAGGTAAGAAACTAAGGTGGAAGTAAGTCTATTTCATGCTAAAAAGTCTCTCCCTATTTAAAATTATATTAGCACAGTAACATCCCCACTCTTCACGGGCTATCTAAAAGCTACAGAAAAGCCAGTAGCCTCTGTTCAATAATTTGTAGCACACCCTAACCTTTAGGGGTCCTGCAACTGACCTGCATAGAAAGAACCCTAAAGCTGTATTTCCAGATTTAGAGGGGGCAGACAGAATTCAGATGCAGCTTCAGTCTCTGCCAATTCTAGAGCAAAGCTGCTACAGGCAGCTTAAAGCTATACGTTCAGGATTGGCCATAAAGCCAGCAAAGACAACGCTGCTTGCCGGCCCCAGATCTTTCACGATAGAAGATTTTTGAGCCGCGTTCTCAGGGAATAGCCACAAAGGGAGCACGTTCTTAAACGCATCTTCAGCACATGCAATATTCATTTTCCTACCTTGACCAGAAAGTTAGGGCTTCTCCATCCCTCTCCCCTCAGAAAAGCTACAGCTGCAACAGCAACTTCAGAGAGCTTTCAATCAGCGCTAGTTTCACAGGGCATTCATATTGCATAGTTGCTAAAACAGCCTTTAATACTTTAATGGGCACTGGGGAGGGGAGGGGAAAATAACCTTTAAAGAAAACATTTTCTCTACAGTTAGAAGGTTAAAGCTACATATATTACTTATTTCCCCAGATGAAAAGCAGGGGAGACCTGACCGTTCCAAAGTTCAAGCTGACGTTTTTTGGCAAGCCATCTAAAAATAAAGAGGTATCAAAATACTCTGGCATCACATGCCTACCTGGATCACAGCCATCTGTCTTACAAAGATTAGTCATTGTTCCATTTGATTTGGTCAGTTCAGCACTGTACTAGAGTGCACTCTTAATACATGACAATCAGGGCCTTTATTGTATGAGCAGAAGTAAAAGGCAGCCAAGTCATCAGTTAAACCAATATACCAGTAGGAAGTGCTATTCAGACTCTGTTATCTTATTGTGTAAATAACAGATGTCAACATTAAGCTAGTTCAGTACCTTAGGAGCAAGTTCTCATACTCACTTTATCAAAAAAAAGGCTACAGAAGAAATCAGCTGCTTAGAGCAGATACGTGGAACAGATCTGTCAGTCCGCTTTCCTTGCTTCAGAAGTTTTTCTAAGACACTTCTGTTCTATTTCTCCCCAGGTAATATCCTGAGTTCTTTGCCTTTCAGCTTTTTTTTTTTTCCTCTAATGTAACGCTTAAGGGAACAGTTAACATTTGTAAAGATGCTGCATCTATGCTATAGAATTGAAAGCCAGAAGTCACCTGTTTCTCAGAATCAGTGCACTTCTGTTATTTGGAGTCTAAAAAGATCTTTAGCTGGCTGCAGTGTCTAGAACAGTGTATTAAATGAGTAATTAGCTGCAGTTAGAGCAGTCCTGCAGCATGATGTAAGATTTGCAGTAGTAGAAATACTGAATTAGTGCTGATGATGCATCCCTAAACATACCCACACCAAGTCAGTTCAGTCATCACTCCACAAGCTTCACAGACTACGAAACTGAGCAGTACTGAAGTGAACTGTGTGTACCAACAGATCTGATTCTTCTCTTGGCACACAAAGAGTCACAATGTCAACATTCAGTGAATGCAAGGACAGTAAATTTGGTACTGTTCAAGGACATAACATTTCAAAGACAAGTTCACTAAATCAAGAATGCCACTTTGCGAGACCATGGTGCAAAACAACTGCTTTCCGAGCAAGTTATACCTACAGTTCTGTGACCAGATTAATCCAGAGTAAGATGCTAAGTAAACCGAAAGTCAATTACCCAGCAGTGTGCTGAAATGCAAACACTGCATTTAAACTAGGTCCTGAACAATGAGTTTAGATGACAACAGGCTTTCAGATGCAACCTAAGTTTAACAGTAGCTTTGATTTACTTCCCTAATCCTTTGAGGCGGTACTGTTCTTAACACTTCATGCGCTGTACAGCCCGTTCATTTCCTTCCCCACTTAGAGTATATGTAGTCGAGAAGCTCTGCAGGTCTGTAGAGGTCTTTCTGCAGGAAGTATAGCAAAGGTAATTGCTGCCTTAAAGAACATTGGTTCTTCCACCTAAGTGATTCACTTCACGTCTGGAAGCACAGCAGCAACATGCTACCTTCCACACCTCCAGTAAAACAAGCTGCTGAACTGTGGAACCTCACGAAGCCAAGGTGTGTACCTCAGGGCTCAGTACAGACACACTGATTAGAGGCAACAGACAATTCAGCAGAATAACTAGGATAAGGAAACAAAGGCTTTTTGTTTAACTCAGTTGCACAATTCCAAAGATCCTTTGACAAGGGTCCTGGGCTGACGCTGGCACTGAGCCCACTTAATAGAAAAATTGGGTTATGGGAACCTATTTAAACTAGTAGCCTTTGTACCAGATACTTTTAGTGATCGTCAGTCTGAGTAGTAATGGCTTTTTTTGCCAATTCTCCCTAATTGTAAGTGGGTAAGTTTTAATCATTTATTCTAATCAGGCTGGAAACAGGCAGCACAGAAGTCAGTTTTACAGCGACCTTAACAGATGAAATAGTGCCAATAAAGGCATCTCTCTCCAAACATAGTTCCAGGGTATCTGTGTGCTTTGCTTATAGCATTCTAAGCAGAGTGCTCATTTCCCAGGGCACTGCTTTTATAATCGTGTAAGGTTCTGAAGTGTCACAAGTCCCTGGGATCAGAGGCAGCTTGTAAAGCTTCAGTCTTGTCTCCTTAAAGGATTTAAGTGACTGAAGCTGTTACATAGAGTCTCTCTGAGCAAACAAGTTCTGCTGATCCACTTCCCAGGACTACTACTGGTCTCAACTACAGTACAAGTTAAATAATACCTGGAACTGAATTGAGAAGGACTGCAGACATGCTGCAAGCTGGTAATATGACAACTGTCATTGTTCAACATTTATATTTCCTGGAGTTCAGGAAAAATAGCTTACAGCCCGTAAGTAGTAACAGGTGTTTGATTCACATGTTCTAGCTGGAGAGTGCCAATATGTATAAGTCCACCATGAAAAGGGGTAACAAGTAGAAGGGAACTATCCCTCTAGGGATAGTTTTAACCCTCCAAGGGGCCCCTCTTTCCTGGAAAAGTACTTGAGTGACTAGCTAGTAAAGACCCATGAGACCCACACGTGTGGCATGGAAACAGAATTCCACTCTGACCTTAACTGTTAACTCATACCTTTCCTCAGGGGTTGAAGGCAGTGAACTACAAATTGTTGTACTACTTTAGCAGGTAATTTAACTCATTATGGTTTTTAAACCTCTACACAAGTACTATTTTGTGAGCTTCAACATATTTTAAAAAAGCAGGTGACTAGTTTATCAAGTTTTAGTGGGCTAGAAAAAACATTTGAAGTTTTACTTCTTACTGCATTGTTCTCCTTTCTGCCTCACCCTAAGCCTCCACACAAAGGATACCTTAGAATAGAAGGGACTTGCCTAATGCTGTTGGTGAAGAACAAACCGCAAGAACATGGCCCCTCAGAAGTGCAGTGCTAAAACAGCACATTTAAAAGGATGATGTGTTCCCATTACTTACCATCACTTAACACTGACATACGAGTTTTACTCTCAAGATGAAGCCGCATAGTAGCTACATTCAGAAAGGTTCAGAAAGTTAATGTTTTAGCCAACCCCATCCAGCAGCTTTCGCAGCAAGCTTTAATAGCTGTGTGAACCTATCAGCCGAAAACAGGTAACAGACAAATTGTCAAGTAAGCTGTCCTGCTGTGTAGGCTTTTACCTGAAGCATACTTGAGAGCTTAACCACTTGTGAAAGTACCATGCATCTACTACAGTGTGCTAGCTATCATTCTAGCCTGCACAGAGGCATGCACTATGGAAAAAACCTTTTAGCAATATTATAACATGTCTGACTTCCTTACCCAGTGATAGCTGCTACACAGTCTACCCAAAACAATCTGAGCACCCAGTAAAGCTTTTCACGTCTGTGGTTTACCAGAAGTTGAGTACAGCAAAACAGGAATTAAGGCATGAGGTTGTTCCACTTTTTACCTTCCAAGCAACAGTTGGAGTTGAGATTGAACACAAATAGAAAGCCTTCAGCAAAAGCTTGGGGGAGTTCTATAGTATTACGCACAAACAGTTTTAGTAACATATTACAAGACATCTGTTAGAAAGACTGATCTTGATAGCATGAGCCGAAGTTAAGCTTTGAGATCTAGACAAAGCAATACAGCTAGAACTACCCTTAAATTGAGTTTAGAAATACCATGACAATGCAAGTCTAACTGCTTCTTTGGACACTTGAATCTCAGTGTTCTGTGTGCAAGTGTTTCTAGTTTAACGCACTGATCTCCAGCCACAACATCAGGTTATCCAATAACTCGTGGCAAATTCTGATAAGAGCTAAGTCATCCAGTTCTGTACTGCTTAACACTTTAATGGTGATTTTAGTTTAAAACATAGCTTTTTGAAGTATGAAATACACAAGTCATGCCATCTTCTCATGTTTGTTCCACTAACGCTGCTGAGGAAAGCTGGGAAGGTCGTCTATCACTTTCACTGACCACAACCAGTTGTCAAACCAGAGACTAGCCGGTGGCTACTGTCTGTTATGCACCAAGAAGGAGATCAGCTCCAAAGAAGTAGTAAAAGGCTTGCATTAAGTGTCTGGTACAATATCTACTTTTTAGAACTATAATACTATAATAATGCAAATTCTAACTCCTCTCCCAGGAGGGAATTCACATATCAGAAATATGGTCTGTTTTACGATAAAAAAGTTGATACAAATTTACACAGTGAACATCACTCTGCATGACTGCAGAACATACCTGCTCTGCAGCCTGCCAGCATACAGAAGAGACAGAACTCCCACCTTTACAGTTCATGATGGATGTGAACGTACATGTACTGCATGTGCTACGTGTACAGTAATGCACAAATGCAAAGGGAATGATCATTATTACAAGAGATAGTCCTGCATATAATCACAGGCAGGTGGATGTAGGCAGCACCTTCCAGAAGACAGTGTTTATATAAGAGCAGAGGAAGGAAGAATAAAAGTCACAATACCATCAGTGTACATTTGTATTATGGTCACTTTTAGGTCTTCATTAGAAGGATCTAGAACTTTCTATCCCAAATAAGCTATTCCTGGCCCACCCGCAGTCTGGAAGCCCATTTTTGGGGGGGCTTTCATTCCCCTTAAGGGCTCCAAGTAGAAAAAGCAGTCACATTCCCAAGCCCATTACCAAGGCTTGGTCCCCTCTTACGCATCATCTTCCTTAGGCCCAGCAATTCCAAATGCTCAGTCTCATGGGAAAAAAGCCAACAGTAATTAAGGTACAGATAAATAGGGCACAAATACCTGCTCCAGCAAGGCAAAGAGTTATCCTCCTTTCTGTCAGTGCTCTAGCACTGTCCACTCAGCAATAGCAGCGTAACACAACACAAGTTGGCTACTTCTAATCTGTCCTCACACAAATGTCAAATACAGGCTACAGTTCTGTTTCAGCCTATTTTCCCTGCCCAGAGGGCACACGCTGAAGCCAAGAACAGCTACCAGAACATAACAGTTTAGCAATATCAGAATTAAAGTATCCTCCCTAGTAGGTTTGGGTCTCATCTGATTCTGCTTTCATTAGCAAAGCTATACTAAGCTGAAAACTTGCACCTTTAGTAACAGAAAATCCACATAGGCTAGAAGTTATCTAAAGAATTTTAATGGCCAGTAACACTGACCTCAGCCAAAAACTTTCCTGCCACAGACCTGCACTCTGTGGTGTCCAGTGAAACTAACACTCAACTGCAGGGGGGGGGGGGGGGGAAGA